TAAAATGATGAAGATGAGGTGATCGAAACTTCTAAAACAAGCAACTCCAATGCTTTGCTAAAGGACTGATATGGTTGGAGCAACAGTTTAGTTTTATGAACGTCTCGTTTTGAAGCAACACGAGGGCAATTTTGAACCTCGGTCAGATGGCAAGGATGACACATGGGCTGGAAGCCCCCTTTCTAAGCTTCTGCACCACACCAGAGGGACGGTGTTTGGCTCCCTACCTATGATTTAGAGAGTAACAGGCACAATGCGCAGCGAATCCTCAGTGGAATCAGGTTTCGAACCTGCAACCCTCCGGCCCCAAGGCCGAGACCCTGCCACTAGGTCACCGCGGCCTCAAGAGAAGTAGACTGACTCTGATTCTATAGAACTTATGCTACTGAAACAACGGCTAAACGAAGTCAGTCATGCTCACGGCAGAGCAAACTTCCGTTTAAGCTAATATAATGTATGTATCGTATGTCATATAAACATTTATATTGCATTTTCTGACTTGTATGACAATTTTATTGAACAAATGTACTGTTTATAATTATTGAAATATAATTAAAAAATATCACATTTAGTTATTTTGTACATGTGTACATGTTTAAAATCCAGTGTTAAAATTTATCCTCCTGGTGGCCATTTTTAAGTGCTCTCTTTAATCCGGAATTTTCGATTTACCGACGGATGTCCTGCTCCGACAATTTCGGTTAATCGAGGTTCTAGTGTATAAGAGAAAAGAAATAATCCGATAAAATAAAAATTGATATTTTGGCTATCTTTTGGGTGATGTGTCCCGTTAACATTTAAATTCTCACTTCCTATTGAAAAGAATAAAGAATTTTACGAAATTAAGTGCTTCTAAATATTTGCACAGAAGAATAATTCTTTCAAAGTAGTTTAATATTAACTAACGTAATGAAATTCTGATGATGCTTTCCAAACATTTCGAACAATAAGCAATTTGAAGTTCAGGTTCATGTAAAAAATTATATTTTTTCATTATTTTCAAATAAGGGTGCGCCTGAATGACTTTGAACGTTCTGTTATTATCAAATGTCTTTTGTTTATTACCTCCTTTGATGCATTGTGCTCACATTTTGTTTCTGCATTCCTTTTCGGTAAATATCAGAATAAACAAAGTCTATTTAATCAGATTTCAAAGCGTTATTTCAATAACTTTCAGCAAATAAAAGCATATTCATGCAATTAATAGCTTTCTTTTAGGAATTTTTGAAGGAAATGTAAATTTTTATTTAAAACAATAGGTAAATATTAACGTTTCTTTGAAAAGGTCGAGTCTTCAAAAGATTATATACCCTGATATCGAATTTTTAAAAATGTAAATAAATAAGCGGTGAATTCAAAAAGTATCTTTCCATACGAAGAAATAAAATGAAAATTTAAAACCTAAGTGTCATTTTACTATGCAATGGTTGTTTCCTGTTAATTTTTAGAAGTATGATACTTAAATTCAGTCCACAATATTGCGAAGGTTTTTTTTTTTACTTACACATTTACACTCTTTTCAGATAGCATTTCGGAATATTTATTTTATATGACATCTTAGTTTCAATAAGTATGATGATTAAGTTCATTCGAGAATGTTGGGAAAGTTATTTTTTTGAAAATTTATTTACATTTAAATTCTGAAATGTTTAAATCTCTATGACTAAAATTTGACTCCATGATTTTATATGACGGAAGGAGTTTCAGAGGTCACAAACTAACAATATTTTTCAGAAAGAGAGGAACATTTTTAAAACTGCATATGGTTTTATATATTTTTTGTATGGACTATTTTTCATGATTAATTTCACTTGTGTGCTCCTATCTATCTATTGTGTTTTTATCCAATTTCAACTTAAGTGCTGAAGATTAGGTTAGGTTAGATTAACGTCCCGTTTTGAAGCAACACGAGGGGTATTTAGGGACGGACCTCGTAATTTCAAACCGCGGTCAGATGACGAGGATGACACCTGAGCTGTCATCCCCTCTCCAAGCTTCCGCACAGCACCAACGGGAGGACGTTTGGCCACTACGTATGATGTAGCCTGCAACAGACCCCATACACCGCGGAGCTTCAGTGGAATCGGGTTTCGAACCTGCGACCCTTCTGTATCGAGGTCGAGACCTTACCACTAGGCCACCGCGGCCTTTAAGTGTTTAAGAATCCTAATGAGAGGAATTTTCGGTCCACAACCTCAGTCTTTCCCCAATATATTAACTGTATATTGAAAATGTGTAAATATTTACCACTACGGTA